GAAAATATCCCGTACCTTTATTTGAAAAAATAAAAGTTTTTTTTTTTTTTTTTGGTCAGTCATGGGGCCTGAACTCTAGGCCTGGAGCTGTCCCTCAGCTCTTCAGCTCAAGGCTAGTGCTCTACCACTTGAGCCACAGCACCACTTCCAGCTTTTTCTGCTTATGTGGTGCTGAGGAATCGTGGAAAATCTTTAGTCATATGCTTCCTTTCTCAGTTTTTCTTAATTTCTACTATTATTTTTTGATTATGGAACAAGATAAAGGAATGATCACTTTGGAATAGACATGTAAACACATACAAACACATATGTATATGTTTTCTTTTGCTTTACAGTAAATTGTTGTATTTTAAATATCATTTCAGTATGCCAGGAACTCCTAAATAAAAATTAAAATAAAGTCCTTTCAGTTGAGATTACTGATATTTATTCCTCAGTGGTTATTAGCTACACAAATACAATTTCATTGGTTAAAAACAAGTTTATTTGCACTGTTGAAAGGCTTAGTTGCACTGTTTCAAAGCATACCTTTGTATCAAAAATGTTTATCAAGTTTTGTAGGATGAACTTTTATTAGCTAGAGCTTAGAGACATTTTAACTGTTAGTCAATTATTCATTGGGTTTTGATTTATGAATGGTTTTAAGCTGTTGCCTTAAGTCAGGCCTTTAACTTTTACAACATTTAGGTTACAACATTTAGAGTTAAAGGTGACCAGTGGTCCAACATTGACACTAGTATTCAGTGACACATTTTGAGTGTGTTCAGTCTCTAGACACTGGAGACTCCAAGGTGGTTGAGATGCAGTTCAGAGCTGGGCATTAGTGGCTCACATCTGTAATTGTAGCTACTCAGGAGGCTGAGATCTGAGGATTACTGTTCAAAGCCAGCCTGGACAGGAAAGTCCAGAAGACTCTTATCTGCAGTTAACCACCAGAAAACTGTAAGTGGAGCTGTGGCTCAAAGTGGTAGAGTAGTAAACAGCATCTAGGCCCTTACTTCAAGTCCTATGACCACCACCACCACCAACAAAAGATATAATTCAGTTTCACAGAACTTTCATAGGAACAAGTGTAATAAAAGGTAGAGTGTGCAAAGCTACTTAAGAGAGAATACAGTATTGCATAGAGGAGGAGTGAATTCACCCAGGATGGGAGATTAAGGGTGGTTTCTTGGGTGTGGGACAGGAGCAAGGTTTTCAGCTTCTCAGAATTAGACAGAAGTTCTTACTGTAGGGAGAGGACAATGAGGGCATAAGGACTACAGTTAGCCTTGCTTAGTGTCAAAAATTGCCCATACTGTTTTCATGGTTTTGAGTGTCCAACCTGTGTAATAACTCAAATGCATATTAAAACTTGAGAATTGAAACCCATGTACAGAAATATTTGTTCATCTTGCTTTGGAAGTGCTTCACTATAGGGCTTACTGTGTTCTGTTTTAGCATACAGATCAATATACTTAGTATATGTTAGTGTATGTGTTCATTATTGTAAGGTAGTATATGTTACTATATATGTTCAATATTTAAGGGCTAAAGTGGGTAGTGTAAAAACACTTCATGTTAGACAGTAGGAGCTCAGTGATATTTTTGGAGATTGAATCCAGAGTCTTGACATACACCTTGTAGTTAGAAATGTTGTCAAGGAAGGGCTGGGAAGGTGGCTCAGTGGTAGAGAGCTTGCCTTGCATGCCTGAGGCCCTGGGTTCGATTCCTCAGCACCACATAAGCAAAAAGAAAAAAGCCGGAAGTGGCGCTGTGGCTCAAGTGGTAGAGTGCTAGCCTTGAGCTGAAGAGCTGAGGGACAGCACCCAAGCCCAGAGTTCAGGCCCCACGACTGGATCCAAAAAAAAAAAAAAAAGAAATGTTGTAAAGGAAAACTTCACTACCTACTTCCTGTCTTGAAATGGCATTTCCTCTAGTGACTGAGCTGACCAGATGTCATAGTCATATTTTCAGACACCAGTCTCGAGCGTTTTAAAGAAACCACATCCTATTCAGAGATTTAGAATCTGAGGATTATATCATGTACAATGTACAATGTTTTAATGCATCTTTAATGAGTAGCATAGAACAGCAGAACTTTGAATGGCCTGAGAAGTTTCCTAATGGGACAGTAGACAATAGCATCTCCATTCTCCTAAGCCCCAGAATTTTCACCTTTTCTGACTTGGGCCTACTTGAAAGTGATAGACTAGAAGATTGAGTTGCTCTTGGAATTACTCAGTATAATTCTCTGTGATGGGTAAGGACAACTGTGTGAATTTTATTACTGCAAATTGAGAACCTTGGCTAGTGTATTAATCAGCCCTCTACATAAATCTCTCTGTGAAAAACTTTTAGAGATTTAGTTGCCTTAAAGCCTAGCCTGTTTAATGAAGTAAATTATGGAACTTTTGATTAAGTAAATTATGTTTGCCTTTCTGACCTGGCTGGTTAGAACCCAGTTAAAAGTTTTTTTCTTGATTACAAAAGAAACACAAAATCATCATTAAAAATTTTTGAAAAATACAGGAAACCTTCCAGAAGATGCTTGGCTCATGGCCTGATCATGTAGGTTCCAGATGGATGTTTGAAGGCACCTGTCATAATCTAGCAGCCAAGAGGGAAGAATGGCTGGATTTTAATCGAAACTATTTGTTATACGTTTTAGCAACACTGTTGGTGGCACTTTTTTAGGCCAAATACCCAGAATCTTGAATTAAAAGACTTAATTTCTTCAGATTGGAATAACAGCAGCAATAACAGCAACCACGACTAAATGAATATCTCCTCTGTACCTGCGTTTGAAGACCATTTAAAGACCTTTTTACTACTTCACTAAATTTCCTTGATGGGATTGAACCCAGATTCTGTGATTATGGATAGTTACTTCCTGGTCGGGGATCCATGTTATCCTTTTTAGTCTGAAAACAGTTAGAGTAGACTGCTTCACAAGTATCATGACTATGTGAGTGTGCATGCTAGATCTATGGCCACCGTTTGCTGTATAGCTCTCTACATATTTAAGCGAGATCTATGGCCACTGTTTGCTATATAGCCCTCTTTACATAATTAAGCTGCCTGTTCCTCTGTTTCCTTCTTTGTAAAAATGGGAACTGTGTTACATAAGAGTTATGAAGATTAAGTTAGTACCTTTGCAGAGATTAGACATGTCTTAGGACACATTTTCAAATAAGTAATATACTTTTAAGTTCTTTCTCATTTCTTGTATACTACCAGCATATTTTGACTTAACAAATAGGATAGCGTTTCTCCCCCTAAGTCTGGGAACTCTGGGAGCTAATGATGATAGAATAGGAGGAAGACTGGGTGATTGAGAACTCTTGGAGGCACTGCAAAGGCTTTAGGTTTGTTGCTCAGGCTGTGCTTCTCTTGGGCTTCATGTATTAAAGGCTTGCTGTATCCTCCTTTTGCACCTGCCTTGTTGGTTGTCTAGGGCATTTCTAAGTTGTATTCAGTTGTTATTTCAGTCCTACATGAATATGATTCAGACCCTGTTTTTCCTATTCTCTTATAACTGTACAAAATAAAATTCTTGGGCACTGTTAGCTTGGAATGGAGCTTGGTGAGAGTGCCTTTGTTTACCTTTAATAATAAGGTTTCAAAATTGAGTAGCTTTTAAGAAATTATAAAAGCCACCTTTTTTTTTAACAGAGTTATTGATCACTTGTAATTCATTATGTAACTGATACCCTCACTCAGGACTCCTGGTGTTTTGTGACAGACACTGAGCTTATCTGCCGAAGTAAAGTGACCCAGGCAAGTGCTGCTAAGGAGGAGAAACAAGTGGTCATTGCTCTGCCTTGCCTGGAAAGTGGGGATTGGTATTGGTATCTTATATGCTACCTTTCATATTTCCTGGGGTGTACTATACCTGTTGCATCTACTATTGCTGTATGATACTTGGTTTGTTGTTTACTGACTGTTTCTGCTTCTTATCTGGATATTCAGTATTTTCTGATTTCAAAAAAATAAGCATAAGAACTAAATGAGAGAAGCTCTGAAGCACCCCAGAAAATATAACATAATATTTAATCCCATCTTTAAGGCTTCTTAATGAATTCTTTAATAAATTTGTTTTAATTTTACAAAAAGATGACTTTTGAAAACAAATCACACCATTAGTATAAGGAGTTAATAAAACCAGATGATTCTTAGGAGGACACATTTTGTATATTATCACCATTGAACCAGGGGATAGTGACTGGCCACCTGTGGATGCTTTTGTGTATGTCTCTGTTACTTCTTAATTTGCCATTCAGACTGTCTTTTCATTTTGTCTTCCCTCCTAGCTCCCAAGTTCCTTGAAGGAAAATCTCATATTTCTGTATGAGCCTCTCAGTCCCTTGTACTGGTACCAAAAACATGTGGTCAAAGGAAACATTCAGAGTAAATGCTTTGTTAATTTATTAAGCATACTATGATCTTTGTGGCATAACATAGTAGATACATTAAGTTTTGCTGCTGTGCCGGGAGAAACTCTCTTTCCTCCAGCACCTCATGGGAACACCCTGGCTGGTTGCTCCTTCTGCTTTGATCGTCTGCCAAGCATTTGGTGTTTAGCCATAACACAAATGAAAGCATTCTGAAACTATAAGGCTGTCAGAGCAGCCAGGCAACCTAGCTGACTCCTGAGCTCCATGAGCTTCAGATTGGAAGTGATTACGAGGGAGTCTGTGACTGGTTTTCTTTAAAACACTGCACTATTTGAATTGGGATTGACTAGGCCCACACTGTGTGGAACAGACACAATGAGGCTGGTCTTTATTGGAGAGACAGTCCACTGTGCATTGTTCAGTTTAGGGTTTGTTTTTCTCTGGCCAGCAAGCGGGAGCCTCCCACTTTCCACGCAGTAGTAACACCCCTGGAGGCTGGCCTTCGCTGTCATGCTGTCCCACCCTGCAGGCTCTGCAGACCCAGCTAGTGCCGCTAACCTCGTGTGCCTGAGAAGATAGCTTCCCTTCCTTCTGCAGGCCACTGGCATGTGTGAGCCCTGCACAACCAGGGATTTGAAGCTGTCCTCATTGCAAATTTTCTGACTTGTGCCTTGGGCAAGAATGCAGGCTGATAAATGCAGGACAAGCAGTAGAAGCGTCAAAAAGGAGCTGGTGATCGAGTCTCCTCTGCAGTACAAGGATGCAGCTCAAGGAGAGGTAGAAGTGGAGAGTCCAGGCCCAGTGCTGGTAAGAGGGTCTTGTTTGGCTGTTAATGTGTGTGTGGAGCTTGGCATCTCTTGCCTCCATTTGACTTGAAAATGGACTATCTGTCTCCTTTGAACCTTCTTCTTTATCTGTCCCTGTAGATGAACTTATGTTCCACCTGATGAGGAAAGAAATGTTGACGTTTTGTGGCTGTGTGGTTTCCAGAAGGCATCTGTACAGAACAATTATGTTCTGTTCAAAATTATATCCCACCTAGCTGCAGAGGTTCTAAACATAAATCTTGCAAGGTGTATTTTAACTTCAGCTGTAGGGTGGAACAAAGGAAGATGTACTTTGCAAAATAACCCTTTTTTCTGCATTATTTATGATATTGAGTAAAGGAGGCAGGTGCCAGTGGAAGGTTTTAAGAAATGTGACTTGAAAGGACAAGTATTCTTTTTGGTTCATGTTATCCGGAGGTTTTCCTTGAACAGAGTAGAAAAGAATTTAACCTGTGAGCCAACTACAGAAAACTTTATATTCTTCATACCATTAGCTAAACTTGTGGCAGTTTGGACAAAAGTCAAGTGCTTTAGTAGACTTTGTAATGGAGGAATGTGAGAAATGGTTGTGTTGTTATCAATGAGTAGGTTGGCCTTCTCTCTTGGAATTTCTTCAGTACAATAAAGGCACATAATTTTTAAAGCAAGCTGCAGATGCAACCAACATACACTGCAAAGGGGACAATCGAGCCTTTCAAATGATCTGTTAAAGGGATTGTAAACTAATACTTAGTGGGTTTTTAATGTGTGGTTTTAGTTGCTGTTTCCATAAAATGCTTGGTTTCTAATTTACTTAATTTATAATTATTATCTGTAAGAATATGAGCTTAATTTTTCCATTAACAGCTTGATTTGGACTGCTTTGCTTAAGAGAGATTGCATTAGATTGTATTGCCCTCAAATTTCTGTTGCTAAGTTATGCTGAGAAAGTCAATAAAATAAGATAATTCTTTCTCACAGCAGCTTTTCAACTCAAGAGGTTTACATTTCTTTTTGTTCACTGTCATATACGATTTCAACATTATGTTCATTACCTTACATTCATTTCTGCTATCCTAATAGCTCACTTATCTATTGGGTTGCTTGGTCCATGGTCAAGTTGTATAGATTGAACTGCTTAACCCTCCCAGCTGATGTAGTGTGTACTTTGTTGGAGGAAGTCTTGTGGTTTTGGTTCCCTGGTGAATATTCTTAAGAATCTTTTGTCAGTGATTCTCCAGATGTGTAGAAATATGTGTCTAGAGTATTGACTACACTGTAGAGAACTGTCATGTGATTTCCAATCACATAGATGACTTAGAAATTGATTTAAGGGCTTAAAACAATTGCTGTGCTGGGCGCTGGTGGCTCACACCTATAATCCTAGCTACTCAGGAGGCTGAGATCTGAGGATGGTGGTTCAAAGCCAACCCGGGCAGGAAACTCCGTTAGATTCTTATCTCCAGTAAACCACTCAGAAAACCAGAAGTGGCACTGTGGCTCAAGTGGTAGTGTGCTAGCCTTGAGCTGAAGAGCTGAGGGACAGTGCCCAGGCCCAGAGTTCAAGCCCCACCACAGACAATTAAAAAATGCTACTTATGTTGCAATTATTTGTTAGGTCTGCTTTCATTCCATATTCCATACAGAGGTCCTTTTTTACTGCCATGGACAGGCTGCCTGGGCCGTAGAGCACCCTGAGGGGCAGCCCCACAGGCTTAGAGCATCTGTCAGTACCAGTCTGTCCAGCTCAATGCACCTGCAAAGGTGTGAGGGAGAGGAAAGCGATCTTTGATACTGCAAGATGCTTTTCTTATCTGCTTTGGTTCTCTCTTCCAGCCAGGTAAGCAAGATAAGACATACTGATCAGAAAGGAAAAGACAGGATATTTAATCAGGGTCCTCGCCCAGCAAAGAAGAATCCCACAGCTGCTGGGATTATAACTTGTTTCTCAGGATGATTTTTCCAAAGTTTACAGCCACAGCTATGAGATCTGTTCGTTAAGATGTTATCATTAGAATAATGTCAGTGGTCCTGGGGCGTGGTGAGAATCTCCAAAGCTATAATTTAGTAAATATACATAATGTACTTTATTCAGAGTAGGATTTTGAGACCAAGTTTTGCTGATTTTAGTTTTAGTGCTTAAACAGGTACCCTGTACATAGTTTCGAAAGGATAAGAATGATTAATTCTCATCATGAGAAATGTAAAAGAAATGTATTCATTACCTTACTTATGTACTTAGGTAACTGTTCATCACCTTTACAATAAATTTTAAAAAAGAAAGAAAGAAATGTAAGCCAGATGCTGGTAGCTGACACCTGTAATCCTAACTACTCAGGAGACTGAGATCTGAGGATCACAGTTACAAACCAGCCTAGGCAGAAAAATGTAGGACTCTAATCTTCAATTAAACACCAGAAAAGATGGAAGTGGAGCTGTATCTCAACTTGGAGAGAGGTAGCCTTGAGCAAAAAAGCTCAGGGACAGCAACCAGGCCCAGGATGTCACCAAAGGGGGAGGAGGGGAGAAGAAGGAGGAAATGTAAATAGAATTGAAGTAGAAAAAAGTGCCTTTTTCCTTATTCTCCAAAAGTGAATTTTCTCTGTATAATATCCTGCTTTCTCCTGTGACTATAAAAGCAGAGCTCTGTATATATGTACATGTATAATCTATTGTTGAAATATGAATAAGTAAAATAGATTCCCCATTAATTTCTGCCAGAACACATAAAACTCATACCTAGCTTCATATAATCATTTGTAATGGTTGTATAATATTCTACTTTATATCTATCATAATTTAATAGTCAATTTGTTAATGATGCTTTGCAATTATTTATAATTCCATAGTGAATACTGCAAGCCAGAAGTTGTATAAAGTTTCTGTTAGAAGTTTCCTCTTGTCTTTATTTTTGGCAATAATATATTTTTTCCTCTAGACAACAGTTAAGGTTTCCCTGAACAACCTCTGCTTGTTCACAGTTAGAAAAGTCAGTATTGGGTCTTTCCCTTCCCCTCCCTTTTCTCCTTCCACTCTTCCCTCTCACCCCCTTTCTTTCTCCTTTTCTTCTCCCTCTCCACTCCTACTTTCTTTTCTTAGAGAAGATCTCATTAGATAACTCAGACTGGACTGAGTGCTGGGATTGCAAGCATGCACTACCGTGTCCAGCCCAAAAGTCAGTGTTTTTAAGAGAAGTATGTGTTTAAACCTAAGGTTTCGGCAGTGCCAGGGTTCAGCTTACAGGCACCTGAGAAAGTGGGTTGTGTCCCCTGCATTGTATACCAAGTAGAGGAGGAAGTGCATGGTGAACCTTCCCCATTCCTGTCCAGGCTCACTGCCAAACCCTTTGAAAAATGACTTTTTCAGCTGTGGATGACTAAATAGAAATATTCAGGATATTCTTGATGTTAGTTACCCTGCTTCCATTTGAATACCTATTTCTGACCCCCAAACTCTATAAAGTAGTTCTTGGCAGTAATTTGTTCTAAATTGTTATTGTCCAGCCATTTAGAGGAAAAGGGTGTAGCCTCTGGAAAGAATGGTTGAGTTTGACATAATTTCTTGTAGCTCCTTGGTTGGGTTGTTTTTGTGAGTTGGGTAAGGCTGCAGCACAGGTCTTATTGTAGGAATTTGGAAGGCTGGAAGATAGGAAGGTAAAGGAATTGACTTTTCCCATGTAAGCTTTACTTACGGGTCCACACAGGTGGACTTCTGAAACTTTTCATTTTTAAAAGTAATCTTTTCAGGGATTTTTCATATTTTTATGCGATGTTTGAACGTTAAAATCTGAAATGGAGTTCTTTAATGTTTGAGTGAACACATGACTGCTGTAGCAAACCACTACATGTGCCAGATGTAGAGAGAATGAGAAAGGGCTTGGCTGCTAGTGGGACGAAGCTGCGTTGCTTGGGAACTGACTCATAAAGAGAGGGAAGACGACTAGAAGAGCCCCTGTCTCTAGAGTTCTGTTTACTCTAGAAAGAGCAGGCAAAACCCAAAGCACAAGCATATGTGTAATGATCATGTTGTTAATGCCCTGTAAGACTTGAGATTACTGTGGTTGAGTTAATTCTATTATGCTTAGAAAGCTGTTCAGCCCCATGGCCTTCCCTGTGTCTTAAAAAGTAATGATGTTATGTTGATGTTATGTAGTATGTAGTTTCTTTGTTTTCAAAATATTGGCAGGCTTGGGAAAGAAATTTCTGCAAGCATTGTGTCATGACAACATCATAGGCAACAAAATCAGGATGCTTTACTTCTTTAGAGCCATGAGCCTTCCCTAAATGTTGCTTGTTCCTCTGCTTTGTTTATTGATCAGTTTGTTAAGTGTGCCAGGCTCATTGGTTCTCACATTGGGAATCAAAGGCTTCCCTCTCCCCAAGTAGCAAGGCCTGTGTGAGGAAGGGGTTTACTCTTTAGATAGGCTTTCTTTCATATGACAGTTTTTAGGCACACAGAGTGTTATTCTCACAGTCCTTTCCAGGCAGATAACACATAAGTAGCTGCTTGGAGAAGACATGATGCTTTTGGATGTTTAGTACCTGCAGCAGATCCAGGAGGCCTTGCAGAAGGCATGCAGAGTCCTGAGCACCCCGAGGACACTGGATGAGCGAGTCTCCTGCTGCACACCTGTTTTGTGTAGTGTTCATGGGAAAGAATCTTTGTGAAGGACATGCTTCCATAGTGTGGGAATGAATCTAGTAATGGTACCAGCTTGCCACGCTGCCCAGAGGAAGATCCTTCCACAGCTGGGTGCCGCTTCCTAACACCAGGTCACTCTTGCCTTCCAGGATTCTTGCTTGCATAAAAATCTAAAACTTGCTTCATTTTTTTCTTATATTCTGTCATCAGTGTGCAGTCAGAATGCCTGGTCACTGTTTTTTGGCAAGGTAGTCAGTTGATTTTTATTTTGGTGCAGTAATAATAAAAAAAACACTTGGCCCTTGTTCCATGCCATGTATCATTTGATGCTTGTTAAATTCATTCTTTCAATGAACTCAC